GGGGGGGGGGGGGGGAGATGCGCAGGAGGGTCACGAGGGAGACTGCGTGTGTGTAAAGTGTGAGCGGCAACAAAGCTAGGCGTGTACGCTCTGTGACCCTGGGTTGCGGCAAGGCTGAGAGCATTGACCGCCTCACAGCTTCACCACCGCAAGAGGACTGTACTGCAGGCCACCATGAGGGCCACCCCAGGGTTGGCTGGTGCCGGGCTCATGCAAGGTGATCGCCTCACCAGTGGCGCGGCAGGTGCTTCTGGAGGATGACTGAGCCCAGCTGGGCCGCATACCTGAAGCGCACACGAGGCAGGCAGTAAACACGGGGTGTTGGAGGGTCCGGGAGGGCCTGGCGTGCAAAGCCATGGCCGTATCGCATCCCTCAAGCAACCGGGGCCGTGCTGTTTGCCGTGCTGCCCCCACCTGCAGGGAACCAGCATTCCCAGCAGCGCTAAGGGGGGCTCCCAGATTCATGCCAGCGCCGCGCTCACGTGTCAACGGGCACCGCCTTTGACAGCCGCTTGGCCATGACCCGCTCCAGCACGGCCAGCCAGCCGCCCCACAGCCCACCCGTCGTCAACGCGGCGTTGGACTGTGCCGCAAGCGCCAAGACAGCAGCGGGCAGTCCAGGTTGGTGCAGGGGGAAGGAGACAGGGGCACCGCTGTCCCATTCGGTTGCAGTGCAAAGCTGTGGCTGCACATCTGGTTGCACGCAACGGCCGGTGTGCGCCCACTAATGGATGCTCACGCCCTGTTCAAATACAAGGACATGCGCGGCGCAATTGCGCTGAAGCAGAGGCCGACCCAATCCTGCCGCACCTTTGCTGTCTCCCGCGCCTTTGTATCGATGAACCCGGGCGACACCAGCATGACCTGCACACCAAACGGCCCCAGCTCTATCCTCAGGGCGCCGCTCAGGCGCTGCACCGCGGCCTTGGTGGCGCTGAGGAGAGGCAGGGAGGGGGCGGCACCGATGAACGGAGGGCGTGGGATGACTAGGTTGTGCGGGCGCCAGGCGGCTGGCTACGTTGCAGGGCGGCGCGCTGCCCCTTGGCGCTCGCAAGATCAGACAGAGCAGCGGGTGGAACCAACAGCTTTGGCGGCCAGGGGCACAGCAGCAGCAGCGCAGGCCCTCATCTACATCTGCATGCAGCAAACACGCACACCCGCACGCACGCACGCGCGCACACACGCACACACACACACTCACACCTGTAGACGCCCCTGAGCGGGACGGGCTGCAGCCCCGTAAGCGACCCGATGTTGACAATCTTGCCGGAGCCCTGGGCCACCATCTGGCGGTGCACAGCCTGGCACATCTGCAAGGACGGGGGAAAAGGGGGGTGTGTGGTGCACCATTGCTGCTGCCAGCTGCGGCCGTCGATGCAGCTACGCAAGGCAGTTTGGAGAAGGCAGACAAGGTGCCTTGCATCAATCGGCGTCATGCTTGCGAGGTTTGATCCCTACTCAGGGTGGCCACGAATTTGAATCGTTACCCTCCATGCTTTGCCCTTGCAGCACCCCCACCTGCAGCAGCCCAAACACGTTGGTGTCGAAGATGGTGCGGGCAGTGTCTATTGGCACCTCACAGGTGGGGCCGAGCGTGACGACCCCTGTCCGACGCGGCAACAGGAGGAAGTGCGCGATGGCGTAAGCGCAAATTGCGGCGGCTCGAAAGCCCGCTTGTGCAAACAGTTGGTTAGAACGCCCGCCTGCTGCTGGTCAATGGTGCTGCGCCCCTACCCTGCTGCCTCCTCTTGCGGGCAAGCCAAGGCGTGCCTGCTGGCCTTGGCCCTGCAGGCCCCTGTTTACAAAGCAATGGCCGTTCCAGGTTCCCACCCGCATTGTTCACGAGAATGTCTAGCCGCCCAGCCGCCTCTATCACATCCTCCACCGCCTGCTGGCACGACTCTGGCCGCTGCACATCCAGCTTGAGAACAGGGATGCCGCGCTCCTCCAACCCTGCTGCAGCCTCGGGACGCCGTGCGGTTGCAAAGACACGGCAACCGCGGCCATGCAGGTAACAACAGAGCGCATGCCCGATGCCGCCTTCGGTACAGCCGGTAATGAGAACGACGGGGCCCGCCATGGTCAGATGCACACGTGGGCACTCGCCACCACGCCGAGCTCTGCGCCGCGAGCCTACGACTGCCCGCCCTTGCAGACGAGTAAGCTTGCCACTGATCAGGGTTAGCAACTCAAACAAGGCAAGACACGAAAAGTGGGCACTGCCCTGGATCCAACACAGTGTGCCCTCGAGACACTGAAGAGATCGCTCTTCTTCCACTGTGTACAATAACCTTCGGTATCACGTAGTACCTCCGTGACATTTCACACCTTGAATTCGCCATAGAGGGGGCCGAGAACATCAACCACGCAGGTCGGGCAGCTTCCACGGCCAGTTCAACGACATTCGCTCGCGGTACTGTCAGCCATACTGGTGATGACATTTGTTTGATTCACTTCAAGCCGAAGATTATTTAGTCCTGGTGATAGACGGGTCTCGCGCAGGCCGGTCCCCTCCTTTTCGAAGTGTTCGCAGCTGATCTCGACCCGGATGGCTACCGAAGAGGTGCGTCGACAGCTTCTGCTGGTATACGCTGCAGTAGTGGCCCCTCTCGCCCGCTTGCCAAGGCTCCCTGGGTGGCCGGCGCTTCCACCTGACAGGAACCGCGCGCAGCTGGCCACCACTTATGGACCACGCGACAGATTTGTGTGCTTGCCATCGTCTCTTCCGCGCTGCCGATATGCTGAGCGCGCTTCACGCGCGCCGCCCCGCTTCCCCGGTTCTGCTGCTGCTGCTCTCCGAACGCTGCGCAACACACCGGACCTTGCCGTTCCTTTCGCAGGCATACTCGCCCACGAGCATCCTGATCACAGGCGGATGCGGCTTTATCGCATCCCATGTGGTACTGCTGCTGGCCAAGAAGTACCCAGACTACAAGGCAAGTCCCTCCTTAGGTCGGGGCCAACCAACTTTTGGGTGCACGGTTGCTGCGGCCTGAGCTGCGATACACACGGTTACTAGCTTCTACCTTTGCCAACCATCATTAAAAAGCTGCTACCATTGATAACCGTCATCGCTTCCTTTGCGGACAAACGCCGTTTGCTTTATGACTGCAGATTATTGTCATGGACAAGATGGACTACTGCGCGTCGCTGCGCAACATTGAGGGGGCGCTGGAGTCCAGCCCGAATGTCAAGGTGGGTGAGGGGAGCAATCGGCTCCACTCTGGGGTCCTGCTTGCTGAATGCGACATGAACCTGTCTGCATTGACAGCGGCAGCAAGCTTGCTGCCGCCATCAATGTTCACGCATCATGCGACTGCATGCAAGCACCAACGCAGCTGTGCTGTCATGGCTGCGCTGATGGAGGGGCGCAAGGCTTTTGCCGGATCGCATGCTGCGAGCTCCAGGAGGGAGGATGGTGCGTGCAAGTGAGCCTGCATGCCCACCCGTTTAGCCTGTGCGAGCGCCCCATGCTGCCTGCATTTCACACCAACGCTGGCAGTTTGTGAAGGGCGACATTCAAAGCATGGACCTGCTCACCTTTGTGCTGTCGGCCGAGAAGGTCGACACCATCATGCACTTCGCGGCGCAGGCGAGCAGGGCCTGGGGAAGACGGGGGGCTTGGGCGGTATCATGATGCATGCACCGCACAAGGCGCTGGGTTTGCTGGCTGGGACGTACGAGCTGCATGCTGCGCACCTCACATCAGCAGCAGTCGCAGTCGCCATTCCCTTGCACCTGATGCTTCACGCCCAAACACATGCTTGCCTGTGGACAGACGCATGTGGACAACAGTTTTGGTAACTCACTGGTGAGCAACTGCGGTCCTGAGTGTGCTGCACGAGGCGGACGGTGCTGAGTATGGTGTCCTCCTGGCTGGTGGGTTCTGCCGCAATCTCCTAGCAGCTTGGCAGACACTGCAACCACCCTCATGACTGTGTGCAGGCATTCACCATGAACAACACCTACGGCACCCATGTGCTGCTCGAGGCCGCGCGCAAGGCGGGCACCATCAGACGGTTCATCAACGTTTCCACAGACGAAGTGAGCGTTTCGGGGTTGGGGCCATGCGAGCGTGGCCGTAGGCGTGTATGCCAGCATCGGCTGTCGACCCGGCAGGCTTCCATTGGTGCGGCTCAGCCTGCAGTGGCTGTAGTTTGCCAAGCATGGATTGTGGGGCTGCGCTGACACGCACGTGTGGGGCCTACCCCGTGCTCCGCGCTACTGCAGGTGTATGGCGAGACCAGCCTGGGCAAGGATGAGGGTGAGCCGCAGCTTTGACGCCGTGCTGGGACGGAGGTGTTTGGGGTCTGCTCCTTGATGCAGCCTGCGGACAACGCACGCTCAAGGTTCATTGCAGCGGAAGCCGGAGAAGACGGAGCGCAGCGGCTTCCGATTGCGGCGGCGGGCAGCAGCTGGCGCAGGCAGTGGTGGCGTGGTTGTACGGCCTTCCCCGTCTGCAGGCCGCCTCCAGACCCCTCACCCTTCTCACCACTGCGGCTTGGCTCCCTCTGATCTGACACCTTAGGTCTGCAGGAGCACAGCATGCTGGATCCCACCAACCCCTACTCTGCGGCCAAGGCCGGCGCTGAGATGATGTGCAAGGCCTACCAGACCAGGTCGGGAGGAGCTGTCGCTGCTGGCCAGGCCTGAGTTGCATGGGCTGTTACTTGCCACTTGTCACCAGCAATTCTGGGGCGCTGATCCCATTCAGCTTCCGTCTTTTGAAGTTTTGCCCTCATTGCCGATTCGCTGGCAATGTCATCATCACACGTTTTCGGCCGCTCCCACTGAACCGTGATTCTCATCCAAATCCCCCTCACCAACAGCTACAAGCTGCCCGTCATCATCACGCGCGGCAACAACGTCTACGGCCCCCACCAGTTCCCCGAGAAGATGATCCCGAAGTTTGTCATCCGTGCCAGCCGCGGCGCCGACCTGCCCATCCACGGCGACGGGGAGGCGGTGCGGTCCTACCTGTTTGTGGAGGACGTGGCGCGCGCCTTTGACGCGGTGCTGCACAAGGTGGGGGCCGGTGCCCTGATCATGGGCAGCTGGTGGCCAACCCTTGCTGGGCAGGCAGGCTGTGGGGGCTGATTGGGTTCGAGTTGGGAGGACGGGGCGGCCTGTTTGTCAACGAGCTGGTCGCCGCGAAGGTGCAAGAGTTGGGTGTTGACAGTAAGCGTTCCTGCCATGCTGCATGCTGCCAGTAATTTGCCCGGGCCTGATCAAACCTCGCGTTCCTGCGCACCCTGCCCCCCTGGTTTCAATCGGAACCCCTTCATCCCTTTCTTCAGGGTGTCACTGGTGAGGTCTACAACATCGGCACTGACAAGGAGCGCACCGTGCTCGAGGTGAGGGCCTGGGCTGTCAGCAGCTGAACACGCTTGAGGCGAGTGGAGGCACGAGAGGCAGCAGCCAAGCCGTTCTGCGGCTCTTTGAGGCTTTGTTTTGGGTGGCGCCCAGACCACGTCCCTGCCTAGCCGCACTCGCCCCGCCCCCCTTTCTCAACCCTCGCCCCTACCTCCCATCCTGTCCACATTTCACCCCGCCCCACCCCGCCACACCCCGCGACAACCAGGTGGCTCACGACATTGCCAAGGCCTTCAATTTGAGCTCCAGCAAGGTGGTCCATGTAAAGGACCGCGCATTCAATGACAGGTGGGGCCAAGCTAGCTGCTGCTCGCACATGTCTCTAGCAGACAGGTGGCAGGACAGGCGGCATTGCCTCTTGTGAATACAGGGGCGGCCATTGTGACGCATTTCCTGACATCGATTGGAGCGCTTGCAGTCTGGAGTCTGCGCATGTAGAAAACACCGCACACCGCACCTTTGTTTCGCTTTCCTCACTTGCAGGCGCTACTACATTGGCAGCGACAAGCTGGGCGCTCTGGGCTGGAAGGAGACCACCAGCTGGGAGGAGGGCCTCAAGAGGTGAGGGCGGGGCGCCGTCCTTGGCGTTGGCCGGGCCAGCGCTGGCGTGTTTCCAGCATTCGTGTGCACTGACCCGGCACGGAGCTTCAGCTACTGCTTTATTTGTGCAGGACATGTGCACCTCACCTAAATCCGTTGCTGCCCCTTGGACCTAATGTAAGCTTAATGCGGGCCCCTCTTCATTCTTGGTCCAGCCCAAGGTCCAGCCCCATGCGATCCAACATCACGCAATGTCCCACTGCCATTCCTCATCCCAACCCATCCCCCCAACCCACCCCACCTCGACCGCCATCCTCGCCCCTGCCCCCAGGACCATCGACTGGTACCTCAACACCAGCTGCGAGGAGTACTGGCAGGGCGATTTGGAGGCGGCCCTGAGGCCCCACCCCCTGCTGGTCGGCACCAGCCTCACGGGCGACCCCTCCAAGCTCGTCATGTAGGCAATACTGCAGGGCGGCAAAGAGACGCACCTCGATGCTGTGGCCCTGGAGTTTTCCTTCAGGGCGCCTTTGAGGCGGGCCTGCGCGTGCCTGCGGTGCTTGGGGCCGCTGCAGCTGCTGACTGGTTGGCTGTGGGGAGTCACAGCACGGAGTGGACACTGCCCCCTGCTGCGCCAGCGCGGGTTGCGGTGTAGAGTTCGGCGTTACCAGATTGCGACACAAGGCGCTGCGCATGGGCACATGAATTTGCAGCGCTGTCGCAGCATTTGCATGTGAACTGTTCCTGCGATCTGGGCGCACTGTGAGCAAAGCGGAATACTTGTGGCCCTGCATTCTCCCCTTTTTTCGTGACCCTCACCTTGCCTGCACGCTCACAAACTCATATATCTGGGACCCCCTGCGACCAAGACTTATGACTGTTTATCACGCATCTAATTCCAGTAAATGCACAAGCAGGGCTGCTGATTCTGAGACTTTTGCAGAATCACATGGGTTCCGGCCACAAACCTCCAATCAATGAGAATGTGCGCAACACGCTAACGGCCTCCAGGGTTTGAGTTACAAAAGGTTTTCATCCAGCACAGGCAGGTTTTAGACTGCACCGTTGTGTCAGGCGCTGCAGTGATGTTACTCAAAAGGGTTCACCGGTACGCTTCAGCGCGTGTTGGGCATCGCAGCCAACCTGCAGTTGCTGCCCACAACCTAAGCTATAGCCTCTCCACCACCAGCCGCTCCCACTCGCCCCTGTTGGCGTTACTCCACGTCGCCGGCCGCGGCAATTTGTGGTAGCCGTCCACCTTGTAGTCGTCTGTGGCCTGCAGGCGGTTGCCCCAGCGCTCACAGCGGATGGTGACGGGGTCCCCGTCCTTGAACAGCCTATCGCGCAGCCAGCCCATCTCCTTGGTCCACACGCCGCTGCCGTCCTCCTCGTTGTGCAGGACGAGCTTCTGCTCCCCGTTGTGCAGGATGCGCAGGTGCCCGTCGCTGGTGTCGATCGCCCAGCCATTGCTGATCTTCTCTGCGGGGGCGTAAACGGCGCCGCCGCGAGGCAGACTAGCGTGGGCACAACAAACAGCAGGCACGTGCACATGGCACCCAGCTGCCTAGTGCAGACACCGATGCACGCAGCTCTGCTGGCATGCATTTTCAAGAAGCTGCATGGCTGCCCTTTTTGGTCCGAACTCGCACTCAGACCCCAAACCATTTTGCAACATCCCGCAGCCCGCACTCACTGGGAATCCGCGGTGCAGGGGTGCCCAGCGGCGGCAGCGCCGCCTCCAGGGCCGCCTCCAGCTCCTGGGCAGCCCCCCACAGCTCACACACCAGGGCCCGGCCCAGGCGCCAGGCGCCCTCGTCTTCGGGGCGCACCGCGGCGGCGTCGTCCTGCTGGTAGGTGATGAGGTAGGCCTCCAGGCCCCTGAGGTTGCGGCGCACCTGAGGGTCAGGGGCACACGGATTTGCACAGGTTTGTGGGGTGGCTGGAGGGTGGGGAACTGGGTCGAGCCCGCTCTGGGTGGAATTTCGGGTAGCTGCTGTCAGCAGCAGCTTGGTGTGGCTGGGACGAGTCAAAGGGTGACCGCAGTCCAGAGGGTGGGGCGGGTGGGTATGCATATCAAAGCAGACAGATCGGCCAAGTAGCACCCTCGCCTGCGTCGCCCGTCACAGAGAACCATGGCCCTGACAACAGCGCCCCGCGGGCAAAGGTCTGTGCACAGCAGGGGGGGGCACTCACACCTCCTGCACGCCGTCCAGGACGAGCCTGCGCTTGAACAGCTTGCGGGCTGTTTCTGCCCTGTCGCGGATGGCGGCCAAAGAGGGGTCAGCCTCGTCCCTCAGCAGCCTGCAGAGGTAGTCATTCTTGGAAACTGGCGCCGGTCAAAGGAGAAGGGACAGGGGAGGAGTTGAGGTGACGCCAACAAGCGATGCATGCACACATGCAGAATCTAGATCCGGTATACACACGCAAACCTAAGGTTACAGCGGACAGGAACGGCGCTGTCGGAGCCCAGGCTGCGTGCACGGCCCCCGCGACAATTGATGAGCTCCCCCTGATGATGACTTGGGTCTGTATTGAGACAGCTTGCTCACATTCGGCGCTGAGGGCCGCGATGATGGCGCCGTAGTTTGCGTCCTGCAATAAATCATCATCCCAGGTAGATATGCAGGCGTTTCAGCCTCGAATGAGGGGCTGTTGATTGGCGTTGTGCACCAGGCAGCCAGCTATGCACACACCGCTGTCAGCTGCCAGAGGAAGACACGACCACCAAATAAAAGGCAGCAAGCGCATTGCCGGCTCGTGCACACCAATCGTGCTCATCAGCAAGGAGCCCCATGCTACCCTTGCGCGGCTGCTGGGCACCTTCATGGGGCCGACCCAGGTATCAGGCTGCCCCCTGGCGGCGTAGTAGGCCGCCCGCGCGGCGCGGTATGCGTCGATATCCTCATAGCGCCGCAGGACTGCCTCCAGCTTGCCGGCTTGGGTGTAGTCAAACTTGCCGCAGCCCTCGATGAGGTCGCCCAGGCTGCAGGCTAGCTTTGGCGGGTAGTTGGGTGACCAGCCTGTGCAGGAGTACTCGGCGCCGAAGCTGGTGACTGTCTGGGTGGAGTCGACCTTGCTAACCAACTCCTCCTTGGCCTCGGCGCTTGCAAACGCGGCTTTGAATCCGGCCTGCATGTCGCCGATGTGCAGGCGCGCAGCCTCGGTGCTGGAGAACTCCACCGTGAAGCTGCCCAGAAACTGCCCGCCTGCAGCCAGATGAAGATGGCGCATGTTGCAAGGAGAGCTGTGAGCAGGTGTGTCGTCACCGACGCGCATGTCTATGGAAACTGTTGGTGAAAAGCCAATCCGTATTCATTCAGGACGCACGGCTGTCCAGGTTGATATCCAAAAAGATCCTACCGAATGGCACCCTCTTCATGCATGCGCTTACCCTTGGTGTAGCCGCACACAAAGTGGGAACCAAACTTGGCGTGGAAAGACTCGGGGCCCTCCTCCTCCAGCAGCACCTGCGCAGAGGGCGCCAGCTGCACCTGCTGGTTGGTGTCTGAGGGGTTGATCATGACAATCTGCTCAGATGAGCACACCATGCTGACAACGCCGGTGACGCGCTTGGTGCTGAGCTCCATGTTGTCGGCTGCCCTGAAGGCGGGTCCTGCGTTGGCAGCCCAGCCCTGAACGCTCATGGCACCACCTTGGAAGTGTTGAGCGAGGGTCGTGAGCGCGGGACAAAGCGTGTATTTGTGGTGTCGTCGTGAGTGAGGAAGGAAACGAGGACACCGACCTGGCTGGGAAACAAAACAAGCCAGGAGCTGGCCAATGCACACATTGCAGGGGGGCTTGCGGTTTGGTGGGCTTGGTGCGCACAAAAATTTTATACACCCTTGTGTCACAGCAGAGATTTCCTATTTGATATGGCATGGACGGCATCTGAACAGATTCCAAGTGGGGCACGCTGCTGACACGACCTCTGCAGCCGTTGGTCACATCAACTTGCCAGCCGTCACAACCCGATTTCCCCAGGCCCTGGTTGTCACTCGCCTGCGCTCAAGGCGTCGCTGAACGCCGAGCCCCCTGTCAACACCTCGATCAACGCGTGCGGCTGCGCTGTCCAGCCAGGCTCCTGATCCAGGAGCTTGAACTGCACGGCGCTGGCCGCCTGCTCCCCCGTCTCACGATGGAAGCCCAGGCCCAGGCTCAGGTCAGCCCAGGGCGTGCGGCAGCCGGCGCTGGAGATCCCGCCAACCAGGTCAACCCTGGCAGGCGGATCAGCATTGAAAGAGCTGGGGCAGTCGTGGTTGATGACTTTGGAGCTGTCGACAGAGCTTGCCATCTCCTGCATGCAAACAATTGTAATTGATGGCAGTCATGGATGAATGTGCAAGCGCGTTCGTGCGTGTGTGCGTGGGTATGTACGCGCGCCACGCACGTATGTGTGTGGTGGGGGGGCACACTGTTGTTCAAGCGAGAAGAACGGGCTGCATTGACGCCCACGGCTGTGTAGATTACTGTCCCAGATTTCCTGGCGATGCACTCACCACGTGAAACACGGGACGATGGGAGGCGCGGATGGTGACGACAGACAGGGTCTCCTGGCTCTTCAAGAAGGCGGCCTGCACATCAGCAGGGGTCAGCTGGGGCGGTGCACAGAAGGCAAGGATGACACGGGCTGCAGTCACACGCTGCCCCTCGTCGTACATCTGTAGCTGCAGCAGGGCGGCCGAACCGCCCTCGATGCTGGCCTCAAACTTGATCGTGGTTGTCCTGAAGAGAGTGTCACCTGCAACGAGCGAGAGTGGATGGAAAGGATCTGTGGTGACGGATGGGCATAGGGAGATTGCTGGCCCTTTTGTGTGTGCGCGCGCGTGCGTGCGTGCGTGCGTGCGTGCGTGCAAGCGTGTGTGTGTGTGTGTGTGTGTGTGTGTGTGTGTGTGTGTGTGTGTGTGTGTGTGTGTGTGCATGCGTGCGCGTGTGCGGCAAGAGCGCTGCCATGTAGCGAGCTAGATAAGCACCGACATCCGCCTCCTGCGTGACCGGTATCGATCCTGACAGGGTACAGCATGCCACGACTTCATGCGCGCCGCTTGCCAATATGTGTGATGGAACTCACCAACGCAGGGCCTCGCCGCCTCCCACAGGTCGCGCTGGTGCGCTGCGCCCGCCCAGGAATCGGCCAGCCGGCGCCCATAAGCGATGCAGCGGTCTGCCCCCTCCCAGCCAAGGATGGTGGCCTGCAGGTCCTGTCTCTGAGGGTAAGAGAAGTCAATCAGCTCAACCATGCGCCGAAACGCAATTCGCTCCTGCCTGCCTCGCAGCCTCGTGACAATGTCCGGCATGTTGGCGGCCCCAACAGCGCCGGCAACACTCGCGGCGCCTGTGGTGCCACGGCTGGAGCCGAGCCCCCAGATGGCAGTGGTGAGAGCGCTCATGCTTGACAGTCCTGTGGAGAAGTGGGGAATGGCCGTAATGAGTGTTCACTGGGTGGGAGAGTGTTGGACTGTTGGACCGTCCACACAACCAGGATGGGCCGGTGCTGGCACAGGTGGTGCACGTATCGAGTTTCAGGGATGGGTGCCTGGAGGCAGCGGCAGGGGCCCATCCCCCTTTGACAACCCCCCCTCGGGTGTCCCCGCTATGTTCCTCAATATTATGTAAGAGCCTTAGAGGCATTTTAGACGTGGTGGTCGTCGGCGAATTCTGAGAACATGACAAGCAGCACCGTGCCACAAACCCCAGGCTGGCAGCACCGTGCCACAAACTTGCTGCGCTGAGTCTTCCGTGCTCATGATCCCGTGGAATGTGCGCATGTGTCTTGTGTCCAACTCACCAGGTAGCTCTTTGGGGGTCTCTCGTGGGACGGATGTTCCCGTTCTGACCACGGATGTAGAGGGCACGGGCGTGGTTTCAAGGAGTCTGATCAAAGGATTAGGACCACATGCTATCGTAAATAAGATTTGAATGCGTGAGGGAATGGATTAAGTGGGAAGCTGGACAGAGGAAAGGCATTGGCCATGATTTAGGGATTACCGTATTGATTGGCACCAGGGTTGCCTTGGGGTGTTGGGATGGCCCCTGAACCAACAAACCAAAGAACTTACACATTATCATAGTAGACAGAGCTTGTTTGGTCTTTGCTTGACAGCCAGTGAATGTGGGTGCTGCGATGCCTTCAATGCTGTGTAGGGAGAATTGATTGGCATGGCCTGACATACAGCAATGTAGGGGAGGGAGACAAGTCTGTACGATTGGCCTCTGCCCCAACTTTGTTGGGCACATGCACACGCCATGGAAATACTGGGTCGCCCTGGGGACTATCCCTTGGGATGCGCCCGTGTAGCGCTGGCCAACCAGCGTGTTGAGCTGTTCAAGCGGTGAGAGCGGTGGCAAACAGTCAGCTCCGTCAACCTCGCCCCTGTGCGGCAGCGCGGCCATGCCGCCGACCGGCATCCCTGCCTGCAACAAGAGCTCGCTCCGTCGGCTCACGCACGCACGTGCGGTGACAATATGTTTGTACTGTAGTGGCTTCCCTCTGACTATGGACGTGGCAGGTGGGGAAGAGGTTCTACAAAAAGCGGGCAGCCGCCGGCAGGCAGGGTGTTGCAGAGGAGCCTGACGGAGATGATAAAAAAAGTTGGCGGCATCGTACACGAGTGGGGTGGCCTCAAGGCAGGGATTGGGTGGCCCGGGCGGGGCAGGGTGGGACAGGGCAGGTGCTGCGGAACACGTGGGCATGCAGTGGTGTGCTGGGTGAGGCGAGGGGAGGACAAGGAGTTCACATGTCAAGGGGAAAGCATGAGCATCAGCAAGGATGTTGTTCTGAGGTGGCCTTAGAGCCGATTGAGTGGCACCTGAAGTGAGCGGTACATTACAGAAGTTGGCCTGGGTTTGAGGAGAGCCACTTCCGCTGCGCATCAAGTATAAACGGTCAAGTACACAACATTGTACGAAGTCTCGTGCGGCTATGTTTGCAACCTAAAGCAGTCGGTGGTGTCACAAAAGGAATTCACATGCCGAAGAGACGTCTGCTGATCAGCTGAGGTGGCACTCGGGGCAGGTGCACTGGAGTGGCTGCAGCACCAGCATCACATGCACACATGCATTAGGGCTTGGAAAGTTGTTCATCTCAACTGTAGATGCGAGTGCGCGGACTGTTATTCATACACTTGTACAATATTGCATACTGCACCGTGTACTGAACGTTGCCAGATCAGTTGTAATGAGCCCTTCGGATGCAGAGGCCCCTTTACTCCCACGAATCCACCCTCATGACGTGCATCTGGACGAAGTTCTTCTGGGAGAGTACGACCACGGGGTCCGACCCACGTGGCACCCAGAGTCGGTGTCCTGGCAGGTGTGTGCGTCCTCTACGGAAGCTTGGGGACCAGGTGCATCGACGCTGTGCAGCGGTGCACACTTGTGCAGTGTAAACTGCTAGTGAACTCAACGGTGACAATGAGCTGAGTGCTCTTACGGCGCTGCATACAGGTGCTGCACGCATTCGGGTTCTTGCTGGGCGGGACGACTTTTGTAGCTGGTGGGTGGGTGACGGGCGTGCAGTGACTGATGTATCGCCAGCAAAGCAGCCAGCCTACACACCGCAACTTGTCCCTGTGGGCCTGATTTGCGTGTCCCAATCCGCAGTTTCGGACCGCCTGATAACGTACCTTCATCCTTTCACCCCGCCCCAGGCACTGTCCTGCTCTTTTCCCCAGGATACGACACTCTCTCAGCCATCCTGTACATCATTGGATCATGCGGGTGCGTATGAAGTCCGATTGAAAGCAGCTGCGTTCGGGGCGCGGCGCATCCGGGCCGCCCAGCTGCGGCGTCACCCGGTGCTCGACGCGAGCAAGCATCCCCCACAACCGATGCGACCCTCGAATTTCACACAGGTTCTTGTTCGTCGACATGCAAGAGTTCTTCACATTTGATGGCAGTGTCCTGCGCACCAACATTGCCATGAGCGCGACCGGCTCGACGCTGTACGTGGTTGGCAGCGTGGTGAGCCTCAAGGCAGCCGGGCTGTGGCCCGCCCTGAGCGAGTACATGCACGGGACCAGGGAGGGCGCCGTGCTGCATTAGCAGCTGTGCAGCCTGCGCATGAGGGGGCTTGCGCACAGCCTCAGCATTCTGCTAAGCGAGCACGGCTTGCGGGCAGTTGCGCCAAATTGCTGCCGCCAAATGCTGCGCAGGCCTGGCTTACCCCTTGCCGCCTCTTGCACGCCGGGTTTGCTCCAGGGCTACTTGCCCGCAGTGCTGGCAGTCAACCCCTTGATAGGTATCTACGGTTTTGTTTTGGGGTCTGCCTTCATTGCGTGGTCTCAGGTGGGTGGGGCTGAGAGTGAAGCCGTCAGCAGCTCACCTGTATGGAGTTGGCAGAGACGAACTCCACACGGGTGGAGTTGGTTGCATGGCAGAGACAGCAGAGCTCATCCTCGCGTGGCACATGTGGTTGTGCCCAGTCCCTAATTTGGTCCCGGAGCTGCTCCTGGCGCCCTCCTCCTTGCCATCAGTGCCTTGTGTTTGCTGGCTGCTCAACTCGGGCATCTTCAAGGCAGCTGAGGTGCCGCGTTGTCAACGCGGCTGCACAACCTCGCCCCCTTGTAGCTCTGGAAGACGTACCGCATTGGCGGGGGCGAGCTGCAGGAGGGATTCCACCTCAAGACCTTTGCAGCTGCCGATGCCTTCACCGCGGGTGAGGGCGGGCGCATGAGCACGTCTGATTCCGCCGAGCGCCGTCGTCCACATCAGATGCACGTGTCTTGTGGCATTGATATTCCCGCATGCTGATGACGTCTGCCAGCTCGATCTTGTGCGCCATCATCCACCCACCCCATGCCCTAACGCTGCCCTCAACTTTGCGGAACGTTTGCGCGCCTTGACCCGCAGCCGGTGTGGAGCTGAGTGCGGGCATCGGGGCCCTGTGCTTCTTCTTTGGCACCCTCCTGTACGACAACGGCCCCCTGGAGGGCCCCGGCAGCGTGCTGGCCACGGTGCTGTGGATCTGGGTGGTGGGCAGCGCGTGGTTCACCACCGGCGGCCTGTTTCTGGCGGCGCGCCACGCCTTCATGCGCGTGGTGTGAGGTCCCATGACGCGGCACCTGCGTGGCGCCCTGCGGCGCCTGTGTGGCGGTCGCATGCGCCCCTGCACTCAACGGGTCCACCATGCACTGACTCTTCCTGGAGTGATCAAAGCTCTGTGTGATCCTCATCGAGGAAGCCTGGTGGCATTGCCTGGTGCTGTATTTTATCGGTCTGTTGCATGCACCACCTGCCAATCTTCCTGGATTTGCCGGGTCAAGGCCGGCGCCCGTGCGTAGTGCCAGATCCGAGGTACAACAGGCGCGCAACATCTTGGAGTGGGGGTTTGAAATTGTATTTGATGGCCAGAATGGTAAGTGACTTTCTTGATATTTAATTGTGAAGATCCCGTTACAAAGAATGCCTACGTCCCCGCCCGCAATGCCGCTGCCAGCATCCCGTGAGCGCCAGCAGACAGAGGGGTGGGCTGGTGTGCTTTGTGCTCGCGCTCGTATCGTAGCGGAGGCATGCAATGCTTGAAATTTGAAACAGCAGCAAGATGGGGGACAGCCACCGCTGCAGGTCTGCGAATCCGCATTGGGCGCGCTTGCATGCAGGGACAAGTCATGCAAGCCGGTCCTGGAAGCAGCAGCAGGACTGGCGTTGGCCGCACCGGAGGTCAGATGAGGTGTGCTTGATGACGTGCAAATGTGAAGCACACGGGTTTACAGGCGGGCCTTCCATGCTCACGCCTGCCAGCCTCAACCGTACCAAGTCGCGCAGACGGGTGCTTGTTCGCGCAAATCGCGCTGTCTGCCATGTATTTGAATGCCGGTGTGCTTCGGACCTCCTGAGGCAGGGCTGCTTATCATGCGTCTCTAGCGACCCGTGCAATGCGTTCTAGGTAGCTACAACCTGACACAAGGGCAGGGCAGGGTTGGGCGCTGCTAGCTCCTGGTGGTCCAGATGTTGGGTGGTGGAGCGCGCCATCCATTGCAGACGAGGCCACCTGATGGCGCGCGTGGCCTGGCCTGCACTGGATGGCATTGCACAATGCGCAAAGTGCCACAGACGGCGCTTTGCACCTCACCAGGGTGATGAAAAACCCCTGACATGCAATGCAGGGATGCATGTCTTGGTTTTTTTTTGACAAGGTGCTGTCCCATATTCGCATTCACCTCGCTTCAGCTGCGCCTTTCTCACTGCTGCCGTCTGTGCTCGAGTTCCATCTGCAAACGCATGTTCAGGGGGAAAACGTTCTCTTTCAACCGTGCACTATAAATGCACATCTTAGCCGCAGGGCCGTGAGGGAGAGTGCAAGGTGCTCACTTTATAGCCAGGACCAGTCAAAGTAAACGCCCGCTCGGTCAACATGTGGATGTTCGCGATACTGTCGAGGCTCTTGTCAAACACATACACCCGCCGCAAGTGCTCGTCATGACTGCAGCAGGTCTTATACTGGTAGCATGTTGGCAGCTAGCACAGCACGGCGGCGCTGACCCCTTGCTCCATCGCTGACAGCCTTTTGATCTTTGCGAAGAAGGGCGGAGAGCGCTGCATGCAATATTCATGCTCGTTGAAGTTCGATGAAATCTGGTGGTTCTTCATGCTTGATCCAACTCTGCCAAGCCGCAATGTTTCTCAATGAGTAATGGTTGACGACACACCGACCGTGATCTGTCTTCTCACGTGTTGCCCTTGGAATTTTAGAATTCCAATTTTTTTGAGGGCACTTCCAATATATGCTTGTGCAATCATTCGTGTTCGCAACCCGCGCGGTCACTCAAAACTCAATCGTGCCAGCCAGGCTGAGGGGCGATGCCCCTGGCCGACCTGCTGCCGTCATTATGGAAGAAGCAGCAGTACCAAGCCCTTTGCGAGGTGGACGACGGCAGCGGCACGCTCGACAAGGGGTTTGGGCGGCGCATAGAGGATTGCATCAACAGCGACATGCAGCGCTCCGTGCCACTGAATTCGGTGCTGCAGCAGCAAGGGCAGCCGCATGCCAAACCTGGCGTGGATTTAGAAAATGGAACTGGGCAAGCATTAGCCGACCAAGCTGTTGGTGAACCGAAGGCGGCTAGGGGGATGATCAGGTGAACGCAGAGGCGACATGTTGTGCAAACGTTGGTTGTTGCACTCAGCAAGCAAGAGGCCAGCCCTGGGGAACCCTAAATCTTATCTTGTGGTACCAGCGCTGTTGGTCCTTCTTCAACACAACTTTACCACACGCCTGCACCCCGCAGCTGGCTGTGGGACAGCGGCACAGCGTGCGTGGCTACCGCTGCGGTCTTCTTTGCATTCTCTGTCCTGGCTGTGAAGGTGGGGCATTAGACGCGATTGGTTATTAACCAATTAGCAAGCAAGAACAAGCAAGCAAGCATCAGGAATCAGCGCTGAATCAAGGCCGCTCTTACCACCGCTTGTGTTCAGAATGACTGATCAGGATTGCAGCAGGAGTGGTACCAGTGTATGCCTCCATGCAGCGACGGTGCCCCACCCGTCTCCTCCTCCTCCTGCCTCCCCCGCCTCCCGATCTCCTCCCCTGGCAGCTGCTGGGCAGCCGCATCCCCGTTCTTGAGATCACCACCGTCCGCTCCTCCCTCAGCCTGGCCGTCACCCTGGCCATCGCGCGGCTGCGGGGCGTCACCCCCATGTTTGGCCACCGCCCCGCCCTGTGGAAGCTGATCGGGCGCGGCGTGTCCGGGTCCATGGCCATGGCCACTTACTATGCTGCGGTGGTCACCCTCCCCCTGGGTGACGCCACCGTGCTCTTCTTCACTAACCCGGTAGGGCAGCAGAAGCAGAACTCTGGGGTGTCGACAGCGGTCTGCCACCTTCTGGGCAGCTCCTTCCCCTGCGCTGGCGCGTCTGCCCACCGCGCTGCCGCGCCTCTCCTTTGGAGTCCCCCACTGACACAAAGCGCGCCCACCACGAGACTGCGGCGCCCGCCCGCCGCCTGCCCCCGCCGCCTCTGCAGGCCATCACGGCCGTCATGGCATGGCTCATACTGGGGGAGCACCTGGGGGGCCGCGGCGCCCTGGGCTCCCTGCTCAGCCTGGTGGGGCTGGTGGTGCTGGTGCACCCGCCATTCCTGGGGGGCGGCCACGCGGACTGGGGGCCCAGGCGGCTGCTGGGCGTGGCCTGCGGCGCGGCGTCCGCCCTCTTCAGGTGGGGCGCGGCCGGCCGCGGTGGCGTGGCTGCCGCAGAGTGTCGACGCAGCACGCAGCGCTTTTTGTGGTGCCAAGCCTCGTGGCTCCTGGCTGCCTGCCAGTGCTGATTTGCGCCAAAGCCCCCCCCCCCCACTTGCCCTCACGAGAGTTTACTGCAGCACCCCACCCTACCACAAACTATTGATTATTCAACCCAGCTCTGGTGCCTTCATCTTCATACGCTTCATCGGCAAAGCAGAGCCCGCCCTCGGTGCGCCAAAGCAAACCCTGCCTGAGTGGTGCTTGCTGTCGGCTCCCAACGGGCCCCTGCGGCGGACGGAGAGCGTTTGCTCCCGCCAATCGGCACCGCACAGGGCGGCCACATTCATTGGAGCGCACAGCGCCGTCGCGCTTTCTGGTAGCCTCCAATTCATTGCCCTCCTCCCGTCAAGCGCCCTACAAACACCCACCCCTGTCCTGCAAATCTGTCTGATCTCATCTTACCTCGCCCTGCAGTGGTCGCCCTGTACTTCCATGCCTGCACTGTGGTGCTCTCCATTGGCCCCCTGGCCGCCGGCTGGCCGCAGCGCGCGACACTGCCGTCCGCCTCAGACGCGGCCCTCCTGGGCGCCATCGCCGTCACCAGCTTTGCCGGGCAGCTGCTGCTGACGCGCGGCTTCCAGCTGGAGTCGGCCTCGAGAGCGGCCTCCATCAACTTCTCGCAGGCGAGCTTTTCATGACGCTCGCCTTGTGCTGCCACGGTCCTGGTGGCTCTGCAGACACCAGGTGGCCAAACACGGGTGACCTGCTCTGTCCTCCAGCCACCCCTCTTGGTCCGCCAATCAAAGGTGTCTGAATCTATGAACACAGATGTCCCGTTCAACAAATGCATTCCAATCCCATCCCCATTCTCATTGACAGGTCATTTACTCATACATATTTGGAATTGCCTTCTTTTCAGAGGGCATTACCTGGGCTGGCGCCGGCGGGTCGGTCCTCATCGCCGTTGGAATATTCCTGGTCAATGCCAAGGCCCGCCCCACAGCAACCGTCCCCGCTGCCGCGGCTGGCAACGGTTCGGGTGAAGGCGCAGCGTCGCCACCGGGGCAGCGGGGCGGCGCCGGGGCTGGGCCCGCCAGGCGCAGCGCGGCGACGGACAAACTGGGGATTGCGGCGAGGGACGCGGCTGGCGCAGGTGTGGGGAGCATCATCGCGCTCTCAGCCATGCCGGGGCTGCTTGTGGGCGGCGGCGGCAGTGATCGCGATGGCAGTAGGCGCGAGGGACACGGCCGGCCTCAGGACTGCAACCAGGACGCCGCCGGCGGTGTGAAGGACGGCGATGATTTCTTGCAACAGGCCGACGCGCATGCGCTTACAGACGGCCACCGCGGGGTGCCCTGGCGCGCGTTGGCGAGTTTGGAAGCGGAAGGCGACGGCGTCTGCGAGGTGCGGGGCGCCATGAGCTAGGTCGATGTGCGCGTGGGTTGGCTGCGGCGCATGAGCTGCTGCATTAGCGCTCGGCATAATGCACCACCAAACAACAGGGGCACTCGCTGCAGCAACATAGCCTTGGGCAGGAACCTCAATTTGATTCACGGAGGCTTATCACCATCCTGGCAGAGGGGTATTGTTCACCTAGCGCATATGATTTGACTGGCAGCGGCATCAAAGCTGTGATTACACGCCCTTATCACGCTGCAATCGAGTCAAGCTGCAATTGAGTGGATTGAAAAAAGGCTTTCAAAGTCCTTATGCTGCTGTCGTGATTGGCGCGTCGAGAGCTGCACCTAGCAATCCTGGGGGGGCTGTGATGATGCGCCCCATGTACTGTGAAGATAGGCAGGTCAGCCTGACGGATGCGTTTCTCCTTGGCATGTTGTGAATTGTTTTCTTACGGCAGAGCGAGGATGTACTGGTCAACCTTGTTGCAACCTTGTAATCAAGTCCGCACTGAAAATCACCGCAAGGCCGCAGGGCGGTTGAGGCAGCAATGGAATCTCAGGAGTGCCTGCAGCCATCTGAGCAATTGCCACACAACAAAATCGCGCAAATCCACTCAGGGGTTGAATGCACTCACTCGGCTGATCACAGGCAGCCATTGCTCCTGGTGCAAGTGAGTCAGTGTAGCTCGCTGCCCTGCTGCCCTGCCCCTGCCATCTTGTTGGAACGCGCCGCCTGCTGAGCTGCCTTGCACTCCTGCCTGTGGCCACCCCTCCACCCTGCCTTGTAGCAGGCATCTGAACAGAACCGGGCCGCCCGGCAGCCGCTGCACAGCCGCAGCCGCACGCCGTCTGCGGCTGTCTTGCCGCACACAGCGCACACAGGCTGCAGCGGACTGGCGCGGGATTGCTCTGGCTGGGCCTGCAGCTGCTGCTGTGGGGGCTGCTGTGGGGGTTGCTGCGGCGGCGGCGGCTGCGCCTGTTGCTGCGTCCGCCGGCGTTCAGGCTGGGATGACAACGTCTGGTCTGGCAGGGTCGGGCCGGGTGCTGAGGACATGTCGCACCCTTGGCCCTCCAGCAAGTGCAGCAGCCTCTCAATGTACAACAATGACCTGTCGGCCGTAGCCTCACCGGACGTGTTGGAAATTTTCGCTGCCTCTTCGTCAAAAGTGTGCCGCACAGCCGCCAAAAGACCGGGCTGGGTGGCCTTCAGGGCCGCGGCGGCGCTCAGGGCGGCAGCATTCTCCGGGACACTGTCGCACTCGTCATCCTGCCCTACGCAGGGAACAGGTGACAAGAGCCACAGCAGAGACGCGGCAAGAGCGCCGCGCATGCCTGTCACGGCAGATCTCTCCTGTGAAGGAAACTGCTCAACTGACGCCCACTGCAGTGCCTGAGCAACAGCAGGCAGCAGCTCGGGCGTCCCAGACACGATCCTAGAAAGAAAACCGGGGCTATCGGACGCCCCCTGACGGCACGTGCAGGCAAAAGCTATCTTGATGGTGCAAAACAAAAGGCTTGCCGCCATGTGGGCGTCGACCAAATCGCCTCCGACGCTGCAATGAGTCAAATGGCGAACCAATGCTGCCAACCCGCCGGGGGCGGCCGCCAGCAACTCAACGATCTCCACAGAACGATCGGAAGACAGCATCAGCTCAACCAGCAGGGCACAGACGTGATACACCGTGGCCTTCTCCACGCCCGCACTGCGGCGCAAACACGCCACCGCTGCGGCTGCGCATGCAGGCAGTCGAGCCAATTCGCAACTCGCCTCGGTGCTGCCCTGCGCAATTTGCAACAACACGTAGCTTGCCTGTTGCCTGGCGACCTCCTCTGTGTCCTCGAGCATTTTCAGCAGGGTAGATGTGGCGCCTGGGGCGCTCGCCACCTCGCGTGCAATGCCTGGTGAAGCTCTATCATTCCACACCAGGCTCAAGATAAGTTTCACACACGCACGCCTCGCCATCGCCACCACGTCGCTTGCCGAGGGCTCGCCACCGCTGCCGCTGCCGCCATGTTCACGCGTGGGCGGCGGGTACCTGAGGGTTCCACCGAGCTGCCCCGCCAGACCCGCTACGAGGCCCGGCACAGCCGTTGCGGCGGCGCAGATTGACTTGTCCCACTGCACGACGTGTTTCAAGCTCCAAGCAAGGAGCAGCAAGTCGGGCGGCTTCAGCGCGGGCGCTGGCGTGCCCGAGAGAGCCTCTGCAGCCGCAACAAATGCCGCCTCCGCCACATCTGCCGCCGCGGATCTCGGGGCAAAGCTGGCGCCTGTTGGTGCCGTGCCAAGGCCAGCGCCGGCGGCTGCCTCGTCATGCTGAGCGCTGCGTGAACCGGCTGGCAGCTCGTGCATGGTAGCAGCAAGGGCGCACAGCACTGCCACAGCGCTAGCGGCGCCCAGCTTGTTGGGCTCCGACCTGGCGACTGTCAGGAAGGTCTGCACCACAGACTCGGTTCCAAAGGTGGCAATCAGCTCGCTCACGTAGGGCAGCTGGGTCATCAGCTTGGTAAGAAGGCTGGTGCACGGGATTGAGATGCGATGGGACTGGGGCCAGCGTTGCAAACAAGAGAAAATGGCGCTTGCCAGGCCTGGCACGCGAGACGCCTGCGTGGCAGTGGCACAATGGGGCCATGGGTGTGAGGCTTGAGGCAACGGCGGAACGAGAGCGGCAGTACTCATGCTGCAATGGATGGCATCCCCTCAGATTAAAAGTCATAACAACCAGGTGCGTTTCTACAGACACGGGTCGGGGAACGAAATGCGGCGCAGGCTCTCATTCAAGCGTGCGCGCAGGGCTTTCTCTGCCCCCCCAAGCACCGCACCTGAGCTGGCCTTGATGCACCTGCCGCTTTGCTGTTTGCGCTTTGCATGCTGACAATGGAAGGGTCGTCCCTGATGATGAACGCCTCCAAAGCGCTAATCAGCAAGTGACACGCTGCGTGCTGGAACGACTCCCGAGCGTCGGCTGTGTCGGCGACCACCTGGTTGAGGCGCTGTCCCAGCTGCCCCACAAGTGCCAGGTGATCTGGGAGCAGCGGGCCCTCCAGCGCTGCAGCGGCAGAGGCAATCCTTGACACGGCAGCAGCTGCTTGCCGCGGCCAGTCTGCCTGGGCGTGGCGGCTGCCGCTGGCCGGCGAGGGCAGCGCCAGCAAGGCACGAAGCGCTGCTGACAGGGCCGCGCCCGGCTCGGGTCCGCTGGCCCTTGCCATGTGAGGTTTGCTACCGCTGCTGCCTCTGCTGCTGATGTTGCGTTTGCCACGGGCCCCGGGTGCAACAGCCTCTGCGCTCATCCTCGAGGTCGCGCTTGCCTATGACGACGTCGAACCGAGGGCAAAGCTAGATCGATCGGGGCGTGGCGTTAATTTAGGGTCTAGTAAGTCGCAACAGCTGGTCACGGTGGAGCAGAAGCGTGATCTGCTCATTTCGTGCGGCCCACGAAAACTACGTCACTGAGTCATCGACTCACCGTGCCCTGGATTGACAGTGCTAAACTGCAGCATGGAGACCAGTCAATGAGCCAACTGACGAGTGTCTTCACTGGGGCAGAAACACACAAACAGGAAGGGTCGGTGCTGGCACAGCTGGTGGACGTTTGGAGTTCCAGAGTAGGTGCCTAGAGGCAGGGGCACGGGGCAACCCCCCTCTGACCCCCCCTCCCCCCCCGGGATGTCCCTGCCATGGTCGTTGATACCCTTTTGTGAGAGCCTTGGACAGGCTAATCAGGCGTCCTGATTGTCAGCCAACGCGTGAGAACCAACATGAATGGCAGCAGCTAAACCCCCAGCCCCATGGCACGAGCTAGCTGGGGCTGACAAGTTGGGGGTTGCGGCCAGGGAAGCGGCGGGCGCGGTGTGGGGAGTATCATCGCGCTCTCAGCCATGCCGGGGCTAGGACACCGGCGGCGGCGGCGGCGAGGACGGTGGTAATTTTGGGCAGCAGATCAATGTGCCCGCGTTTGCGGACGGCAAGGGCAGGGCGCCTTGGGGGGCGTTGCATAGTTTGGGAGGGGGAGGGGACGGCGCCTGCGAAATACGGGGCGCCAAGAGCCATATCAATGAGGCGCGTGGACTGGCTGGCGATCCCAGAGCTGCGGGCGCCACCCCAGGGGGGCTGAATGATGCGCCCGAGTCGCTGTGAATGTGGACAGGTCAGCCTGGTGTTGATGCTTTTTCCCGGCTTACATGCTAGGTGTTTCTTCCTGGCAGAGACTGTTGTGGTTAACATTCTCTTGCATCCTTGTAAACAATGTCACTCCAAGATCACACAAGTTCACACCTTTCTGACACAACAGAAAGTCATCAGGGCAGCTGAAACAGCGACCTCTTGTAAAGTACAACCCAGGTTTACACCAGTGTGAACATCGAGGCCCACATCGGAGGGGGACCTCCCTCACGCAGGAGGAGTGCCTGCAGGACCATCTAAGCCACCTTGATGCAACAACATACACAAGTCCCCTAGGGCGAATCATGCACACATCTGGCTCGACACAGGGAGTCGCCAGACCTGGAGCATGGGAGTCAGGTTTGCATGCTGCCCTGCACTGCCCCTGCAAGCGCCGTGAGACGTGCTGCCTCCTGAGCTGCCTTGCACTCCTGCCTGTGGCCACCCCTCCATCCCGCCTTGTAGCAGGCATCGGAACAAAATCGGGCCGCCCGGCAGCCCCTGCACAGCCGCAGCCGCACACCATCTGCCACCGTCTTGCCGCAGACAGCACACACAGGCTGCGACGGAACGGCGCGGCATTGCTCCGGCTGGTGCTGTTGCTGCTGCTGCTGCGGCTGCGGCTGCGGCTGTGGCGGCGGCGGCGGTGGCGGCGACGGCGGGTGCGGGTGCGGCTGCTGTCGCGGCCGCTGCTGCCGAGGCTGGGATGACGATGACTGGGCTGGCAGGGTTGGGTGGGGAGCTGATGACTCCGCACACCCTTGGCCCTCCAGCAAGTGTAGTAGCCCCTCAATGTACAACAATGACCTGCCAGCAATACCCTCGCCAGCGGTGTCAGTGTCAGAAATCGCCGCTGCCTCCTCCTTGAAAGTGTGCCGCACAGCCGCCAAGAGACCGGGCTGGGCGGCCTTCATGGCCGCAGCGGCGCTGAGGGCAGCAGCATTCCCCGTAATCCTGCCGCCGTGACAATTCTGCCCGAGGCAGGGTACAGGTGACAACAGCCACAGCAGAGACGCGGCAAGTGCGCCGCGCAAGCCCGTCACCCCATCTCGCCTGCGTGCAGGGAATTGCTCAACTGATGCCCACTGCAGTGCCTGAGCAACAGCAGGCCGCAGCTCGGGCGTCCCGGACACAATCCTAGACAGCAAGCCAGGACCATTGGATGCCCCCTGACAGCATGTGCAGGCAAGAGCTGCCTGAAGAGTGCAGAACAAAAGGCTTGCCGCCATGTGGGTGTCTGGCAAATTGCCTCTGATGCTGCAACAGGTCAAATGGCGACCTACTGCTGCCAACCCGCCGGGGGCTGCCGCCAGAAGCTCGACAATCTCCACAGAACGGTCGGAATCCACAAGCAGCCGGAACAGCAGGGCGCAGATGGAACGCGCTGTGGGCGTCTCTGTGCCCGCAGTACGGCGCAAACACGCCACCGCTGCGGCTGCGCATGCAGGCAGTCGAGCCAAGTCGCGGCACGCCTCTGTGCTGGCCTGCGCAATTGACAGCAACACATAGCTTGAATGCTGCCTGGTGTCCTCCTCACTGTCCTCAAGCATTTGCAGCAGAGTGGACGTGGCGCCTGGGGCGCTCGCCACCTCGTGCTTGATGCGCACTGAAGCTTGATCCTTGCACACCAGGTCGAAGATGAGCTCCACACATGCCCGCCTCGCAGTCGCCGCCACCTGGCCTGCCCAGTGCCCACCACCACTGCCGCTGCCGCTGCCGTCATGTGAATGCGCCGCGAGCCTGAGGCTCCCAGAGAGCTGCCTCGCCAGTCCCGCTGCAAGGCCCGGCATAGCAGCTGCGGCGGCGCAGAATGCAGTGTCAGACTGTGCGACAATTTTCAAGCTCGAAACGAGGAGCAGCACGTCAGGCGGCCCCAATGCGGGCGCCAGCGTGCCCCGCAGAGCCTGTGCCGCCCCAACAAATGCCGCCTGCACCGCCGCTGCTGCCACGGATCCCGGTGCGCGTTCGGCAACCGTTCCTGCCGTGTCACCACCAGCGCCGGTGGCTGCCTTGTCGTGCTGAGCGCCGCCAGCATTGGCTGGGAGCTTGTGCAGGACTGTGGCAAGCGCGCACAACGCCGTCACAGTGCCAACGCTGCCCAGCTTGCCCGGCTCCGACCTGGCGACTGACAAGAAGGTCTGCAGCAAAGACTCGGCTCCAAAGGTGGCGACCAGCTCCTCGGCAAAGGACGGCATGGTCAGCAGCTTGGTCAGAAGGCCCATGCACTGATTTGAGATGTGAGGGCACCGCGGCCAGCGTCGCAGGCAGGTAAAATGGTGCTTGCCAGGCCTGGCAAGTGAGGCGCCTGCATGGCAGTGGTGCGTGGGGCCTTGGGTGTGATGCTCGCAGCAAGGATGGGGCAAGGGCGACAGATTCACATACTGTGATCCGCCGCATCCCCTCAGCCGATGGCTGAAAATATGCATCCACCTTTCTACCAACACGATCATGGCAGAAGCGGTGCAGGCCCTGGTGCGGGCGCTCTTGCAGGGCTTCCTGTGTCGCCACACACACCGCACCTGAGCCGGCGAGCTTGATGCGCCCGCCGCTGTGCTGTTTCCATCACGTCTGCTGGCCTTGAGGAGATCGTCCCGGACTATGACAAACTTCAGGGCGCTGATCAGCAGGTAACACTCGGTTTGCTGGAACGTGTCCCTAGACTCGGCCGTGTCAACGACCGCCCGGTCAATGCGCTGCTGCAGCTGCCCCAGAAGGTCCAGGTGATCTGAGAGCAGCGGCCGCTGCAGCGCAGCAGCGGCAGCGGCAATGCGTAACACTGCGTCAGTTGCTCGTTGCGGCCAGTCTGCCTGGGCGCGGCGGCTGCCGCTGGCCTGTGACGGGATTGCCAGCAAGGCGCGCAGCTCTGCTGACAGGGCTACGCCCGGCTCGGGCACGCTGGCTCTTTCCATGCGAGGGTTGCTGCCGCTGCTGCTTTTGCTGCTGGTGTCGCTGTTGCCACGGTCCCTGGGCGCAACGGCCTCCGAGCTCATCCTCGAGGTCGCGATTGCTCACAGGACGTCGAATTGAGGGCAACAGGGATTGATCCGGGCCTAGAGCTGATTCTGTGCTTAGTATTGGTAACCTGAAACAGCTGGTGACGGCTGAGCAGAGCCGTGATCTGCTAGTTTCGTGCCACCCACGCAAACACTCAGTGCATCACAGTGCCTTGAATTGGGGATCCGCCACTACCAAAGTGAGACTACAATAGGGATACTAGTTGACGAGCGCCAACTGACGGGTATCTTCACAGGGGCGGCAATGCAGCCGCAAGCAATCAGCGTCAGGCGCGTGGCCTCGGCGAAGAGCCAGGCCGCTTGTGCAACATCACGATGCACTTCTCTCCACAGGCATTACAGTACAGGAATGTTAGCATAGAATGTTACACCCTACAGAGTCAAGTGTGCACGTTGTCATGCTACGTGTGATGGTGGTTTAGAGCTTGAATTCCAATGCCCACCATGCGATGGCTGTCGTGCAATGCACGTGTCACGCGGTGTGAAATCACCACCCAAAGCTCTCTCAGCGCGTGAACAAATCAAAACAGCCTCAAACTCCCCAAGCCCGCCGCTCGCCGCTCACCAGCCGCCCTTGCCCCTTGCACATGCCCAAGCAGTCGACCATCAAGTGCCCCGCAACGGTCCACTCTGCTGTGCGGGGCACCATGCACCATGGGCCGTGGAACAACACCGGCCTGCTGCAATCTGTGCTGTCTCACACACCCCGCGCGGCCCTAGCAAAGGGGCCCTAGGCGTCGCGTGCATCCTGGCGCTGCACCCTCCGGGCTTGTGATCCAGCCGCCGCTTGCGTCACCGCGTGGACGCGTACTCATCACTCCGTCATCGTCACTGTTGTAAACACACCCCCGACGCATATCGCCGCGTCGAATCGCGCCATGGCGGCGCAATCCTGATGGGCGCGTGTCCCGCACCGCTTGTAACATGCCGTCCGTGCCCTCTGCGTCTGCTGGCTGCGGACCCGCTTGCAGCAGGCCGGGTTCACAGCCCCGCCGACGCGCGCGGCACCAGCGCCCGCAGCTGCGCCGCCAGCCCCGCGTCCGCCCCCAGCGCCGCCTGCAGCCCCCGCAGCAGCCCCTCCTTGCCCTCAGCCGTGCCCAGCATGTCCACCACCAGGCGGCTGGCCGCCTGGGAGCGCAGAGCCCTGAGCTCAGCCGTGACGCGCGCGCGGCCGGCGGGGCTCTCGGCCCAGGACAGGAACGCGCGGTCAGCCCCGGCCTGCGCCGCGGCCGCCGCCGCCAGCTCGGCGGGGCCTTGCACGGCGGCAGGGGCGGCGGCGGCGGCGCGGACGGAAGCGTTCGCGGGCGGCGCGTCGGGGGCGTGCCAGGAGGCCACCATGGCGATGGCATCGTGGCGCGAGATCGCCGTGTCTGCGCGTGACGGTGTGTGTGGGGGCGTTTATATGCGTGTATGTTTGCGTGCGTATGTATGTGTTTGTGTGTGTATGTGTGTCTTGCGGGAGATCTTGTTTGTGTGCTCATGGGGACAGGATGTTTCTCCCTGTCGGGCATGGCCGACAGAGGGCCCCTGATGACGCCACAGTGACCTCGAAGGCTAGGAGACACGTCAGGGTCGCCTCCGCTGTTCGAAGCCTCTGGTGAGAGGACAAGCAAGACCGTGGCGGCCTCAGGGGCCTGCGAGCCCCCTCGCCCCCTCCTGTGTGCCGCCCCACCTGTTGAGGCCACGTGGCGCAGGAGCGCCTCCTCCGCCAGCCGCCGCTGCAGCCGCGCCGCGAAGAAGCTGCGCGCGTCCCGCCAGGCGACGACGCCCTTGAGGGTGCCCTTGGCGTGCATGCGGGCCGGGGTGTCGTGCATGTCCGCAAACTGGCGCGCCACCTGCGGTCGTATGTGGATGGATGTTCATGGGTTTTGAGGCTCGGTGTGTAAAGGGGGGATGGGGGTGGTTGGCAGCAGGCTAGCGATTTACAGACTTGTGGGATCGGCTCTGAGGAGAAAGGAGGCCGGGTTGGCACCCAGGGCCATATGGCCTTTTGCGGCCCAGAAGACCCAGTGGCCCTGCTTGCCCCCGGACCTGCTGGTATGTTGGCAGCAGCGCCTTCTCGCGGGCCTTGATGGCCGCCTCAGCCAGGGGGCCGCCCTCGGCCTTCAGCTTGGCGATGGCGGGGTCAAGCCTGGTTGGTGAAGATAGTTCGAGAGAGGGGATGCTGTGGCGGTCAGGGTCGCCCAACTTGAAACACTTGAGGCGGTCAACACGGACAAGTTGCGGCAGCTCAAAGTGGGGCGAGCGAGTATGATGTCAGGCCCAGAGCAGCAGGCAATGCAGCACCAACAACACAAGCGCGCAGTATGTCCATCCATTTAACAAGTATTGTTCCTCATGCCACCTACAATCCGATACACCCCGTGCATGCGCATTCAACTCCCCACACGCACACGCACACGCACACACACTCCATCCCTCCACCCCTCCCACAACCTGTGCATGGCCTTGATAAGGTCTGGTGTCCTGAACTTGATCTCAACCAGGCCCTCAGGCTCCAGAACACCCCCCCTGGCATTGGGGTCAGCATACATCTCAATGTGGGTGGGGTTGATCTGGGGGGGCGGGGTGGGGGGGAGGCGGCAGAGGGAGGGGAGTTGTAAGAGAGAGAGAGAACGTGAGTGTGATGCGCGGGCACCCAGAATTTGAGTGGCACGATCATGGTGGGCATTCAGGCAGGATGGACGCTAGGGCGTGAAACGATTGCAGCCTGCGAGTCCATTGCCTGCGCCATGTTGTCGCAACATTTCTTCCTGGTGTGCTGGCCGCCTTCGCACCGACAACCAGATGCAGCAGAGATCGCGCGTTAATTTTGAAGGCTTGGGCCGATCATACCCCTCCTGGTCGCCTGCGCCCAGAGCCAGCCCCAGGCCCCCCCACCTGTGCGTCCACCACGACCCAGGCTCCCCCGCGCAGCTCCCCGCCCCCTGGGATGTACACAAACACCGGCTGGCGGTACACACGCAGCTGCTCCACGATGAGGCTGCCGGCCTGGGGGGAGGTGACATGGGGGATGCAGAGGGAGGGAATCCAGGCAGGGGGGGGGGTCTGAGTAGGTGGGGAGGAATAGGGGTCAAGGGTATGTGGAAGTTCGCGATTGATGGGTCTTTGGGGCAGGCACAGCTTTCTAGTAGCAGTGCGCAACGGTCACGAGACTGGCGCTGCTGATTCACAGCGCTCTTACCCCGCAGCATGCGTGGCAACTCAGCAAGACAAGTGCAGACACCCACCCCCGATTGCCCCTTGGTCGTCAACAGTCACTGAGTGCTAGCACCCAACCCCCGCCCCCCAGGGGCACCCGTCCCCCGCAGCCCACCTGCAGCACGCCCTCGAAGAGGTCCCTCTGCCCCCCCGCGAAGCCGCGCCAGTTGGCCAGTATGAACAGGGGCAGGCCCTCCCGGTCAAACTCCTCCATGGCCTGGGCAGTCTTGTCCGCAGAGTCAGGCCACCACACCTTTGGGGGGATCAGAGGGTAGCGTCGGCCAGGCGTGAGTGGAAGGTCGCAGGCGCAGTGAGATGGATGGCGGCCCTTGTGTGTCGGAGGCCGGCGGGGGCGAGACTGCATTGCAGATGTTCGCAAGACTGCGCGTGCTTCTTGCTCTTGATGTTTGCAGACGCTTTCGACACAGACTGCTGCACACCTGCCCGGCCTGCGGGATGTCAACCTCCGAGCTGGCCGGGTCCCCGGGGTCTGCCGGCACGTGCCGCGTCTGCGTCTGCGTCTCCACCGCGATGACGCCCACGGGGACGCCGTCGAGGCGCGCGCGGCCCGTCACCACGCTGCGCGCCCAGCCGGCCTGCGCCTCGACCCAGCTGCCGCGGTCGAAGAGGCCGGACTCCCAGCCGGCCTCGCCGGCGGGCTCGCGGCCTGCAAGCAGCGGTGCGGTGGAGGTGCCAAGTTGGTTGCCAGCAGCATCAGATCAGTCGGCACACTAAATCAGGTGCGGTCGCTCTGCGGCTGCCCCAGACGCGGACAACCCATGCCAACATGCAGCCAGGCGGCTTGGCGCGTGGTGGGCGGCCCCTCTCCAAGCAATGTGCTGCTCACCCGAGATGGCCGCGCGGGGGTCGAGCTTCTCGTGGGCGGCGGGGCTGTAGGCCACCGGCCTGTCGGCCGCGTCGGCGCTGGGCAGCCGCGGCGGCTCCGCGCCCACCTGGGCGGGCGCGAAGGACAGCCAACGCAGGATGGCCTGCAG